AAAGAAATCCAAACATTTTTAATCGTTAGATTATATGTGTGAAATTTTCTTAATTACTTAAATATTAGTTCGAATGGAAGAATTAATGTCAATCAGGTATTAACCTCAGTTATTAATATATTCTATTTTACAGATCTTTATTTTAATACTATAGACTAATCAAATCTATGTATTGAAACGAATGAATAGTTGAATTTCATTTCATTTTAATTAAAATTTTCAGTACATTTATTTTATGGATTTTCATCATATTAGTTATTCAAGTATATGTGATTAATTTATTTCTATTTCTACTAATTGATAGAGATTTCAAATGAATCATATTACTTACGAGGGAACCTTTTCAACTGTCCAATCGCTTTTGAGTTCGAACTCAGTTTGAAAGATAGACCCCAGTGAGGTATGAAAAGGCCCAAAAGGATAAGTGCCCATAGGCCTTCCGTCCAGAGTTATAGGCATTTTACTGGATTTTTAGCCTATGGCACAGTATATACCAAAAAATCGAATGACAATATTTCGAGCTGAGATTGTGTCCAAAGATAGGCCTATGTACCAATAGAATGCCCTGAAAATTTCAGCTCAAAAGAATGTTCCAATCTCGAGATATTGAACACCCAAAAGCCAAAAAATTCTAGCATCATTCGCGGGATATGCGTGATTTTTGGGAGTTTAATATCCCGAGATTGAAACATTCTTTTGAGCTGAAATTTTCAGGGCATTCTATTGGTACATAGACCTATCGTTGGACGAAATCTCAGCTCGAAATATTGTCATTCGATTTTTTGGTATATACTGTGCCATAGGCTAAAAATCCAGTAAAATGCCTATAACTCTGGACAGAAGGCCTATGGGCACTTATCCTTTTGGGCCTTTTCATACCTCACTGGGGTCTATCTTTCACACTGAGTTCGAACTCAAAAGCGATTGGACAGTTGAAAAGGTTCCCTCGTTAGTCATTCTATCTATTAATTATATCAAGTAATAGAAAAAAAGAAGTCTCCGAAGTGATCAATCACTTTTGAATTCGAATTATATGCATCGTGTAGATCAAAATGAGCTGCCAACATTCTGAGAAAAGATCGAGTCCTTCACTTATTGCATTGCTATAGTCTTTTTCAAGTAAATACTGTAGTTCTCGTCAGGAATTCTAGGAAAAAATAATTTCCGAATTTCCACTTAAAATTTAGTACAGAGATACAGACATTAATGAAAATAGTTTATTTGAAAGTTTCAGATCTTTTTGTTCGTTCTATCCTAAGAAACATTTATGACAATAGAATGTGTTTTATATTGAGGTTCTTATTTGAGAATAGAAGAAAATGAAAAGACTCGAAAATTTCACTATAAAATATTCTCATTTATGTTTATCTCTCTACAAAATTTCAGTTAAAATTCAAAAATTAGTTTTCCTAATGTTTTCAGGGGAGGAGGAAGGAGGGGGGGGGGTACGGGATTGATTTCAAAGATATCTTATAAAAATGTAGTATATCCGTAGCAATCAGCTAAGAGCTTGAACTTCTTTTAGGGTTTTCATAGTTCAATAGATTAGTTCCTTATCAAAAGCAATTAATCAATTGTAGGACTTCCCTCGTTTGAACAAAGAGAAAAAAGTATTGTGTTTAATAGGTTCAATCAGTTCTAAATACTGAAATTCTACATATAAATATTTACTTATTGATATATATTTCGATCTCTATTCTTATTGTATTTTGTATAAGATTTCATCGATCACACTGGGCTTCCGTAGTTTTGAATGAAATTGTAAGTAAATATTTTTGCCCTTTTCTTTTTATCTTTTCACTCAAATGAAACGAGTAACGAAGAATAAATATATTTGATCGATTTAATTCACTTATCATTTTCATATAGAATACAGAAAATCAATTTTCAAAAACGATTTATTCTTTTACTAATATAAAGGTAAACAAGATCTTTTTTTTTTTCTACTTCGAAATAATAGTAATATCTATTTAATTAATTTATCTATACGTCATATTTAGGTTTCTTTGACTATCCAGTAAATAATGTTACTATCACGTATATTAATTTATATGCTGATAATATTATTGATAGTAAGTTATTGTTGTGAAGCACAAAATGAAATACGTAAGGCTGTAAGAGCTAAAAAAAATAGAAAAATCCACGAGGGAAGAAAGAAGATTGCACGAGGAAGAAAAACTGTTCGATATGTTAAAAATCAAGCAAAAGCACCATTTTATTATGGAGCTGACAAGGCACATCGAAAATATCAAAAAACAAAACGAAAAATGAATGCAATAGGACACATTATAAGATCATAATTTCTTTTTTCTTTTTTTTTTTTGTAATTATTTATATTTTTATGAAATATTGTAATCATGCAATGTATTCATCGATGAAAAATTGTAAAAAGAAAATAAAATCTTTTTAACATATATTGAAAGATCTTCTAAATGAATACAAATAAAAATCAAATGAATTATTCATAGATAGAAATAATGTCAATGAACAGTCTTTTTGAAAACTTATATTTTGCTTGGTTTTATGCTATTTTCATTTTACTAAGATATTTTTGATAATTGACCTTGCTTTTAAGATCCTACCCTCAAAAATCGATCTCAAGCCAGGTACACTGAAATCACATGAAACTTTCAGGATATATTGGGGAGGTTATAGTAAAATTTTCAGCCCTGTACTATAGCGTGTGGGGAAGATATTCACCAAATAAGCGTCAAAAAATAGCTTATTTTATCTCCAGAAATTCTCTCTGGTATTCAGTCTAGATATTTAATTTTTTTGTTTGAAAGAACATGTTCGAATGCAATGCCTATGAGAGTCTTTTTTTTTTATAAACTCTTAGTATTCAAATGGATAAAAGAACTGACAAGTTCAATTACTTGAAAAACTCTTAAAAAATGACGCTCTAATTATAAAAATGCTTTTCAATATAAGAATAATAACGCCAAATTCAAAAAACGAACTCCCATAAGCACTGCAGTTTTTTACGCTCTTTCAAGCAAAAAAAACGTATTGGCTATAATGAAGCTCCTTCGAGAATTCTGAAAGATGCAATTGAAAACCTATAAAACGAGAAAAAAACACAGCTTATTTTTCGAATAGGCAATGACGGAAATCTTCAAAAATTTTTCGAAAAAAATGACGTGCCGAGTAAAAATTTTTGTCGTTTATGAAGTATCAGATTACGGACTATCTTTCCCTGCATTTATTATAATTTCAATTATTCTGACGAAAAATGACTTTTTGAGAAAATCTTAAAGAATATATTTTATATATCGAGCAAGTTCGAAATTGTTTGTCACTCTGAACGAATTTTATGAGAATAAATTTACAATGGTTATTCGATTGACATGTATTCTACGTGTTAAATTATCTATTAATACGATTTCTTGATTTTAATTCTCTAAAAGATTTTTTTTTCTTTCGAACTGATCAATACAGAATAAGCTCAAGAATTTTTTTTCTTGGATCATCATTCGCTTGTTTAACGTTATTTATTCCATTTTAAGTAAGACTTTTTATTTTAATATAATTACATGTATCTCAACTCTATTACAAGGATCTCTTCTGTATATTTCTATGAATGGATATTGTTAAATTTTGTTATCACATCTATTTTATCAATGTTCTTTTCAAATAATCTGAGACCAAATTATTTTTATAATTCAGTAAACTAATAGTAGTATCATTGCAGTACAAAGAATATCCCTAATAGATTGTTGTCATTTTCAATGATATGATGTAACATATGTAAAACACCATTATTTTTTGTTTTTAAAGAAAAAACTCATATTGAATAGAGTCAATCTAGTTTAATTTTTAGTTGAAAATGAATCCTTCTTTCAATCGAAAATTTAATGAAAAAGTTTATTTTATGTATGCGATATAGAAAGATTTAATGAAGTTATGCAACAAAATTCAGATTGAACTAAACAAGAATCAGAGGAAATAAAAATGATTTATTCTTGATAGATCAAGTTATTTCTTATAAATAATTTTGTTCGATTTTATTACTTTGAAATAATCAATTAAACAGGAAAAAAGAAATGCTGAACCATTGATCATTTCAATCAAATTATTTTCTAAGTTGTCATTAAGCTATAAGTCCGTTTTTATACTTTCTAATGTCGCTATTTATGTTAGTTTGAGAAGAATTGAGTTTCAATGTAATGAATACAACAACAATTCTATTTACTAATTAATAAAAAAAAGAAGTATAAACAAAACTAGATCAAATGATTTAAATATTTCATATTTATTTCAGCACTAATTTCTTAAGAGAATACCGAGAATAATCTCAATATGTAAAGCTTTCGTTAAATTTTGATTTCATTAATGCGCAATCACAAGAGCATCATGCTAAATCATCAAAATCAAATTTTAATTTATCTGATGTTTGATAGAATAGTTAGAAGTCGTCCCATAGATAATCTAGAGAAATCCCTTACACAAGATATCAAAAGATAGAGCATAGATATCTAAAAAGAATGAACTATTTAAAATATAATATAGTCCAATGATCATTATTTTTTTCAGCTGTTGATGCTCTATCTTTTGATATAGTACATAAGAAATTTCTCTGAATTATTGAAGTATAATTCTAGGTGGTATCTATAAGACAATTTCTAATTAAAAAATTGGTTTTGATGATTTAACATGATATTCTTTCAAATGCGCATTAAAAGAAAAAGAATCAAAATTTGATGAATGATTCATTTTCTTAGTTTTCTCATGAGCAATTTCTTAAGTTATTGCTAATGGATGAGTCATTTGAAATGGTTAATGTCAGTTTGGTAAATAGATAAGTGCATGATTAAGCTTCTGTTTATTCAAAATTGAATAATAAAAGATACACATTAAAAAAAAAAGAAATTTTTTTATTGCTATTTGATGGCTTGTTTAAGAAAATAAATATAGAATTATTTTTTTTTTTTAGTTAAAAAGCAAAAAAAATAAATGAAGTCTTTATAATATTATTTCAAATAAATATTATCTGAATTAATTTATTTCTTTGAATAAGAATCCAAAGTTTGTCTTAATATATCTGGTCGATCAGTAAATAAAATATCAATACCAAGTTCAATCATTTCTCGTTGAACATTTGAATCATCAAGAAGTGAACCAACTAAAGCTAAAGGTTTTCCTGCTTTATGTATTGTATCAATTAAATGTTTATTTAATATAGATCGTGTATGTGATTCAAGAAAAAAACCAAGTATATCATGTTCATATAAATAATTTTCATTAAGTCGACCTTGTTTATAATCTTGAGAAATTTTCATCATTGTTTCAATATCAGCACAAATTGGAATTGAAGAAAATTTTTGTTTTTGTAATTCTTTATTTATTATTCGATTAACAGCACCGAATATAATACGATTTTCAATATTATATCGTTTAATAATATTCAATGTTAATGGAATAGCTGTAGCATCTTTCATATCAAAAAAATAAACTAAAGATTCTATTGATGTAAATTCAGCTAAAATATTATAAAAAAAAGCAAAAAATTTTTTTTTAATAAAAGAGAATATTAACAAAAAAAAACAAACTTAAAACTTGATCAAGTGTAATTAATTGTGAATCAATTTTTTGTAATTGTTCAAGTGTACTTTGATTAATATTTATTCCATCAATAATTCCATCATGATTAAGAACAATATATTCATCATTTGTTTTCCATATATCTATTTCAAGAATATCTGTTCGAGCTTCATTAACAGCTCGACGATATGTTTCAAGTGTATTTTCTTTTCCCCAATGTCTTCCACCCCGATGTGATCCATGAATAGGTAATGATGATGAAATAAATTTAGAAAAAACTGGAAAATGACTTGATAATTCTAATCGTGATAACATTTTTTCTCATGATTCATTCATTATGTCTTTTCAACAGACTATTTATATACAAGATCAATGATATGAGAAATATTGAGGTGTCGCTTCAAAATAGATGACACTACATTCTTCACAACAATTCACTGACTAGAAAATGAAAGTAAGACTATTCATTTAGTTGATGTTCTCCTTCATAACAAGTGTTCCACCATGTAATGTTATAACATTGCACGGTGGAATACTTTTCATGAGAAGGACAACTAGGCTAAACGAATACTCTATAAACCCAGGACGAGTATTACGACAGTTGTAAACGATCGTACACGACATCGTATACTATCGTGTACAATCGTATTTGGGTGTATTACTTGACGTCAGAATTACAGCTGTATATCGTCCTGTTGTATACGACCACCGTAAACGATCGTACACGGTAGTATACAAGGTCGTTTTTCATATTATTCCACATAAACTTGTTGTGTTGTCTTCCTCCACATTCTCCAAATAATACAAAGACTAATATTTGTGGTATCAAGTCTGGTTGGGCACCCCAATTAATCTAAGTTAATACGTACTGTTCGATTTATTCTTATAATAAATCTAAAAATAAAAAAGAAAATTTATTTAAATTAAATTAATATTTACTCTTTGTTTTTGCTGTTGATATAAATTTAATTAAAAACAAAAAAAAAAAAAAAAAAAGATTGTTTAGTTTAAAATAACATTTGCTGTTCATTGTGCAATTGTAACAGATATAAATATAAAAAACATTCTTTTATATAAAGAAAGTTACTTAGCGTTGAAGATAACAAATATACGATCGTTTACGACTATCATATAGCATCGTATATGATCATCGTAATCTGTCGTATTTGTTTTTGTATACGATCGTTCATGATCATGCTTTTTCAACCTGGGACACATCATTATGATTTAAATTTTTGAAGGAAATATAAATAGTATTAGCGTTTCTAAAAAAGCTTCAGCTCTGATATTTTACTTAGAAGAAATATTGACATCATGTAATCTTCTACTATTGTATATTAGTTTAAAGCACTTTACTTCCATACAATATTCATTTCGTCTCTAATATCCTCTTTGATAAACTTTCCAGTAGACATAAACAAGATCAGATTTTGTTTAGTATTGGATTCTGATTGAAGAAGTGTTTAGTCTCAATCATAATCCAAAAACAAAATTTTGTTTTGTTTTATTGAAACCGATTAATACATATCTAGTCATAGCGTTTCGACATCTTGTACATTTTATCTTTCTTATAGTGTCTGCTAGTTTATCTAACATTATCAATATAGTTGTGTTTTGTCTGTGAATTGTATTGTGTAGATATATACATTGTTTCTAGCCGTTCTTGTCATTAAGATATAAGATGAAAAGTAGGCCATGGAAATATCTTGCCTATATAGCGACAACTAACCTGATTAATCTTCTTTTTTTTTTTTTGATCGATTCGACAGTAGAATTATTACTCAACAAATGAAGTTCAGAATAGATTTACTACATGTGTTATTTTTATTTATATCGATGTTTTGATCATAATTATAGAAAATACTAAACTTAAGTAGATTATTCATTTTTAAAACTAAATAAATTACTTTGAAGTATTGAAACAAAAATTTCAACAATCGTTTAACTGAAAAATTTCATAGGATCTAACAGAAAAGAAACAAACGTTCGCGTATAATCGATCTAATATCTCTGGCTTATATCATATTGGTTGACTTTTGGGAGTCTATGTCGTCTGCTAAATTATTTGTTTTGTTAATAATAAAGAATTCTATCACATATCCAGGCAATTGGAGATCATATGTTTACTCTAGGTCGATTCTAGACTTAAAATTCAAATAGAATCTATATGTCAGTTTTAATCTAAAAACCACATGATGAAATGTATGTTCAAGGTCATTCTTTAGTTTTCAGAATAAATGACAATATAAGAATTTAACAATGTAAATTACTTGAAAAAAAAAACAACTTTATGAGTATAATTTTTTTTTTGTTTTTTGAGAATAAAGAACAAATCAATTTGATTGAAATCATCCTAATTATGATTCTCATAATTCGTCAAAAATCAAAAAAAGGAAACATGAATAATCTTAATTCGAAAAAAAGGCATTGATTTTCTGTTCTAATTAACTTCAAATTAAAAAAAACAACAACAACAACAACTAAATAGAATAATTTATATTTAATAAATTACATAAAAAAAAACTGTTCATTTTTTTAATTTAATTTCAAAATCTATTTTGTCGACATGAAGACAAAAAAAGAAACGATGACGTCAATGTCACGTATGATTTATTCTCTTAATTGTTTGATGCGTGACAAATAATAAATAAGGGATAAATGCTTGATATTGTTCGAATGATCGATGTTAGGATTTAAACAAATATTCATATGACGATAATGACATGGTCACCGGATAGAAAAAAGAACTCGAGAAAGCAGAAAAAAAAAAAAAATAAAATAAAATAAAACAACACACATCACAAATTGGGCAAGTCATGTATATCGAAAGAACAATCTCCAAATGTCGTTCGTTCAAAATCAAGTATTGCTTCAACATCTAAATCAAATGTTGAACTTGGAATTGGTTCTTGTGTATTATTAGGTATTTGTAAATCCATTGATGGTGGTGGTATTTGATTAAATAATAAATTTGTTGATGGTGATGGTGATGGTGATGGAATTGATGGTGGTGTTGAAAGAATTTTTCGTCTTTCATTATTTGATTTTGATTTGTTCATCTGATGACGCATTATCGCAACGACCATTCGACGAAATAATGGACTTGAACGATCCATTGTTTTTAATTGTTTACTTAATTTTGATGATATCATTTGATCAATTTCATAATCACTATGAGATGGTGATGGAGATTGTGAACTAACTGAAGGAGATTTTGATAATGATGAATATGTACTATCAATACCTAAAATAAAATAAATTAAAACAACAAACAAAGAAAAAAAAAGAAGATTTTTTTCCTGTTTCTCAAATGAATAAACCTGAATTAAAATTATTGTCATTATTATTTGATGTCGAAGGAGGAGATGATTTTAACATATCATGTAAAATATTTGGCATTTGTTGTGTTGATGTATATGATTGATCTTGAGAATTATTTTGTAAAAGATTATATAAATTTTTATTCATATCTCTAACAGATGTAAATGATCTTTGATTTGCTGTTGATGATGATGATGAATAAATATCATTTGATGATGAAGGTATTTGTTCATTTGAAAATAAATAATCAAATGATGTTGGATTTGAATTGTCATTTGATACTGTTTTTGTTAAACGACGTCTTTCAGTTTTTGTCGAATTTTCATTTGATTGAACTCGTCTTCGACCACGAACTTGTTTTGCTCGAGGATCAATTGTCCACCAACTTGATTTACCTGCAATTTCATTTGGAATACGAACAAAACGATTATGCAATGATAGATTATGACGTATAGAATTCTAAAAAGAAAATAAATATTTCTTTTTTTTGTTTTGTTTTTTTTTATTTAAAGAATAAATAAATCAAAAAATAATACCTTCCATCCAGTACTACTTTTTCTATCTCCTTTATCTCTAAAATAAGGAACATATTGTATCATCCATGAATAAATTTGAGAAAGTGTTAATCGTTTATTTTGACTATTTTCAATGGCTTTAGCAATTAATTCAGCATAAGATAAATTTCCCCAAGCATTTTTTCTTGATGTTTGTGGATCATTTAGACCAAGTTCTTTTTCAATTAATAATGCTAATCTTGGATCATATTCAACTGTTGTTCGACAATTACTTGTTGATGTTGCTTCTGATTGTTCATCTGAAGTAAATTCTTCCTCTTTTGGAACTTGTTCACAAAAATCATCAATAAATGATGAATGATAGTTAGAATTTGTACTAGTTAATGATGATGAATATAAATGTTTAGCATTTGAATTTTCATCAAAATCATCGAGAATAGATGAAGGACTTGATAACATCGATTTGACCTATAAGGATAATATTAGGATTTATTTTTTTTATTGTTTTTTTTTTTTTTTTTTTTTGAAAAATTAAATAAAAATATAAAAATTTTGTCATAACCTATTTAATATGTTCATCAAGATAGTTTTTGTCTATCATAATAATTTGATCTTTTGATGAGATTTGTCACCATTTTTGAAAAGAAATAATAAAACAGCTGGTGCATAGGATTATAACTTATTTCCTTTTTTTTTTCTTTCTTAATCAAAAATGTAATGTATGATGTACAATAGAAGATTTTTTTTTTTTTTTTTTTTTCTTTCTCATCCAATAAGAGAAAAATATAGAATATTTGACATTGACATTATTTTTTACTCAGTTTATATTTTGCATAGATTTTTTTCTAAAAAAGGCGATAAATAGATTTTGTTTTTATTTTTTTTTTGTATCCCAAGAATGATGAACGAAAAAGAGAAAAATAAAAAAAAAAAAAAAAGAAAAATAAGTATGATATGTTTTTTATGATGATAAAGAAAGAAAAGATTACTTCAAAGTTAGTGAATAAGGAACGACCTTCATCAGGACATATACATGAATCTCATAATAATTTCATTGATTCTTTTTTTTTTCTTTATTCTCTAAGAATATCTAATAAAAAACAAAATTCATATTTTATTTTTGGTAACAAAAATCCTTTTATGTTTTGATGATTGTCTTCGTCCAGTTGAAGGTTTTTATCGATGACATAATAACGTCCTTGAAGAGCTGGTGTACTCGTGCTTTTAACAAACGGCCTTGTTCGTTCTTCGTTTTTTCTCATCGGCGCGTCATGCGCAAACAATTCTTGAGCTCAAGGCCAAGCGACGCGCCACAGAATAACATCGATTCATGTTCAAGGTTGAAGATAAGAAATTCATAGAAGATCTTATTTCTTTAAAATCTTCGTCTTTTTTTTCGTGTTTTTTCTTTATTTTATTAAAATTAAAAAATAGAATTTGTTAAACTTACTTATACGACGATGACCGCAAATAATTCGTTTTTTTTTTGTTTTGACTTAATTACACAAATAAAAAAAAAAATTGGACGAAAAATGTTGAATATCGATAAATTGATATGAAACTATTTGTAATTACATTTATTAATCTAGAAAACAAGGTATTCAATGGTTGAATCAGAGAATATTTTTTGGATACAAAAAATTTGCTTGACCTTGTCATTCAAGGCCAGCAAAGCTCGACAACAACTACACATAGGACGTATGAGCGTCGTCACTGCTAGCGGCTCGCAGACGCCGACAGTCCTTGAACAAGAACGACAGCGGTGTTGGTGGTGGCAGTCAACGACGGAGAGAGGGGGAGAGGGAGAGACCGTCTTTTGGAGAGACAGCTTATTTTGCTTTTCTTCTCTCGTTTTTTTTTTCTCTTTTTCTATCAGCAGTGATGAAGGGAAAAGAAAAAAAACCAAGGCAAGACAAGACTATATCGTTGCCTGACTCTCTATTTCTCTCGCTCTCTCTCTCTCTCTCTGTTTCTCTCTCGTTCGGTATTGTCGTGTCGAGCTCGTTAGTGATGGTGACCAATATAGTGAGAGTAAAGAAGAATGGGTAAAAAAACCTTTTTCTGTCTGTTATAGTACACGGGTGTATGTGTGTGTGTGTGTGTGTGTGTGTGTAGCGAGAAACGACCTTGGAATGCATAACGAGTGGTTGCCGAAGGTCTCTTTGTTTGGCGCATAGAATCGTTGTTGACGTTGTTGATGAGGATGATACTCGATTACTCTCTACTCTCTTTCTTCATTCACATCGTCTTTTTTTTCTTTCTTCTTTATTCTACCGATGTTTCAGTGGATGAGAAAGAAGAATGAAACGAGAATGATCATCTGACACACTTGCCGTGTGCATGAAAAGCTTCTTCATTGTCACCAAATCATCATTTATTACTCTACTACTATCTTGTATTCAATACAAGAATGAGTACTATTTACTCTCTATTTTTTAATCGAAATGAGTGACAATGTCAAAAAAAGAAAAAGAAGAAGAAGAAGAAGAAATATGATTTCGAATTACTCATTAACTTTATATAACTAATAATAATATATTTGATATATGAAACTTTTCTTTTTTTTCTTTAATTCTAAAATCAAAATTCAAAATCAAATATACAAATTTAATCTATAAAATAATCGATCAATTATGAAAATATTGGTTTTACTTTGAACTATCAATTTATAAAAACGGAAAAATACATGTGAGCTTTTGCGACGTAATTTTTTTTATATTATCCGTTTCGGATGTTTGACTAAACAAAAGCATTAATAAAACATTACAAATTGAAATATATTATCTTTTTACAGTTTACATTCTATCTAATTATGTTACTAATTCGAATGTTTCTTCAAATAAAAAATTAATGAATCTACAGAAAGTTTTAATACAAATTTTTTGAATTCTATACAATAGGATATTTTTATTCAACATCTAATTGTAATACTTACTACCACATAAAGATATTTCAGGTTATTATAAAACTTTTTGTAGATCAATAGAAAAAAAAAATAAAATATCTTCCATGCAGAAACAACTTTTTCAAATAAAAATAAAAAAATATCGAAATTGATTCAATATTACATTTCATGAGAAATAAATTTTGACATTTGTCTAAAGTCTTTAATCGAAATGATCTCGAAATACTTATTCTTAGTAATTCTATAATAAATATAAGTGAAATTTTTCTATCTATATTTCAAAATGAATTAATTCATTTGAAATTTTTCTAAAAATAACAAAATATAAACTATTATACTTTTACCTATTCATTTGTTATATTTATAGGTTTCATTTTGTTTTTTGTACTTTATATAAATAGATAGAGCTAATACTCTTTATTTTGTTTAGCTGATTCATTAGATATATCATTTGAAAGTTGTCTTTTTTCATATATTAAATAAATAAAAAAATAATTAAAAAAAATGCGGATTTAACAGTTAATTATATAACTTTATACTGTAAGGCTAGACGCTTGCTCTAAGATGCTTTTTCAACATAATGGAATTTTGAATATATTCATATATTTGAATAAGTCCATTATTTCTATTAAATTACATTGAAAAATACTTGTTGTATTTAACCTTGAATATAAAAAAACATAAATGTTTTTATTAAAAAAACAAAATCATTATTAAAAAATATATACAATAAAACAAAATTCTATTATCTTTTTATTCAATAAATTATCCACTAGTTTCTCCTGTTGAACGTTGTCGAATTAATGTTGATTGTGTAAATAATTGATATTCTTGATGAAATTTTTTTGAAAGAATATTTATATTAATTCTTTGTTTTGCAAGAAAAAGTAAACATAATGTTTTTAACGTTGGAGCTATAAAAGAAAAAAGAAAACCGAATTATTTGTGAATTATTATATTAATTAATATATATATATACCGAAATCGAAAACATAAAGATCACTTTGATCATAAAGTGTTGTTCTAAGAACATCAATTTCTTGAATTTCATTTGAACGATTTGTAAATGTTGATGTTGATATTGGACTTGTTCCACCAAACATATACATTCGATCATGAATAACAAGACAACATTGTCGTCGACGTGGAACAGGACTTCCTATACCATAAGCTTTTATTCGACGCCATAATAATGTTAACGGATTAAATTCATGTAAATCATTGAAATGTGAACCGATTACATTATTATAACCACCAAATATATACAATTTTCCATCATGAACAACTAAAAAAAACAAAAAAGAAATTTAAAATGAAATATTTTTAAAATAATAACAAACAAGCAGAATGTGATCTTCTTCCACATGGTATTTCTCCCATTGCTGTAACTAATGACCATGAATTATGTTCAGGATTAAAAATATAAAGACGATCATCATAAATAGTTTGTGTTATTTGTTGAGGTTCAATACGATCAAATCGTCCACCGAATAAATACATTTGTCCATCTAAATTTGTAGCTGAATGAAAATCACGCCATTGAGGAATAACATCACCTATCTTTAATGTTTAATTTTTTTTTTTTTTTTTATAAACAAAAGAAACATTAAAAATAAAGTTAAAGACCTTTGGTTGATGTAAATGCCAAGATGAAGTATTAAAATCAAAATAAAACAGATCATTTGAAAATTGTTGAGTCTAATACAAAAAAAAAAAAAAAAAGAAAATACATAAATAAAGATTTGAAGAAAATTTTGAATAAACTTACATGATCTTCAAATCCACCAAATATATACATTCGATCATTAATAATACATGCAGAATGACCATCACGAGGACTTGGAACAAAATCACCAACAATTGATACAAGAGACCATTGACGAGATTCTAAATTTAGAAAAAAAATTTTATAACAAAAAAATTTACTCGAAATAATTACTAGGATCAAAACAAAATAAGCGGTTACATGGTACAGGACGATCATTTCGTCCACCCCATAAATAAAATTTTCGTTTATAAACAACAACTGTATGTCCATATCGTGAAAAAGGTGTTACATTATATTGTGAATCATCTAATTGAGGTTTTGGTAATAAATACCATTTTAATGTATCTAAATATAAATTAATTAACATATATATACATATATATATATATAAAACAAATGACTTTTCTTACGAGTATTGCATATATGAATATCAATTGGAGTAATTCGTGTATAATCTTCTTTATGAGAATATCCACCAAATGAATAAATAAAATCATCTAATGCACCTGCAGCATGATTCACCCGACGAGGTCCATTTTCAATACATTGAATCCAATACATTATAAGTTTATTAAAAAAAAACTTCTTATTATTTCTTAATTATTTTCAATTTAGTTGCTGGTCTTCTTCACATTCACTATATGAGCCAGTCAGATTAAAACAGACAACTACTCCCACCTATCGTCTCAGCTGATAAAAGTGAAATCATCGTGCTTTAGACAAAAATAGAAATTTATCTAATATCTTTCAACATCAAAAAATCTATAATTCTTTTTTCAAATTCTATTCTATTAATATTCATATTTTTTTTGCATACTATTTCTACACAATATCTATTCTTATTAAAAAACACAGGAATTGAAATTTTGCTCACCATATGCATCTCTCAAATAACAGTAGACAATATTTAGCAATAAAATACTATATCAATATTTGATTTAAATAAATTCTATTGATATATGTGAACAGATTAACAATCTTATCAAAATCACATGAAAATCGACTGTTTTATAATGATTTATAAGTCTGATTATTGTAAGATTATATTGTGATTAATCTACATTTAACAAAAAAAGAACCCTAGTGAACTTTTCATTAAGAACTTTCAGTAAGTCTTGTGAAAAATATTCCGAAGAATATATATGAAAGAAATTCCTTGAGATTTTAACGGATTTCCTTAGAAATTTAGTACGGGAATGACGGCTATAATAAACTTTTTTATATGACATTGTTTATTATCGTAATTGTATGAGCTTCTTGTAAGTGATGGATGAATGAGTTTTTCTTTTCTTTTTTCTATAAATAGAAATATATAATTTCATTTTTTAATTATAAGTACTGATAAAATTGAACTTGTTATTAATGGAAACAAAAAAGAAAATGTAATTTAGTTATGTTGTAATACAATACTTACTGATGAATCTGTTATGATGATTAATTTAAATAAGAAAATAAAACTAACTCAATAAATTTTCGTAAAGATAATGGTTTTTTAGATGTTCAATGTATTAGTAATAAAAATAAATATTTATTTCAATCTTTTTCTTTTTATCAAAAATAAAAATAAATTTAATATTTATTCAATTCGAATTTAATATAGAATTTGTGATGAAAGGTAGATATGCTCTTCGCCGAAATATACATCGTTGAAAGTACTTTTTTTCGCCACAGAGGGCATCTCAAAGGTGAGAATGGGGGCAAAATGAGTTGACCTCTTTATGTTGAACAAGCCTATATAAGAATTAAAGGGCTCTCAACAGTCTAAAGCGTCCTACGAGTCTTCTACCAAAATGCTTTTCGGCGAAGAAGGTTACAACCATTACTCTTCTAGAAAACTGGAATAAATTCATTAGAGCAGAGATCGATTATTATACTTTGATACTTTAGATTAAATGTTAAGTTCTAAATGATCTTGCCTAAAATAATACCGTTGTCCATTTTTTTTCCATTAAACTTTTCAAAAAGTTTTAGTAATGATATCCGATAAGCTTTTTTCCGTTTGCCTTTCTGATAAATATGTTCTCGAATGTACATAGAAAATAGTTTTCATGCCAATGCACTTTATTAAAGAAAAAAAAAAAAGTATTATCAATACTTTTACTTCTTGTTTTTGTTTCACGACACTTCTATCAATACGACATAGTGATCATCATTAGAACTATCATATTTAAATCATGTGATAGTAGTGAGAGCTTTAATAAGAGTGTTCTATTACGCTGTCATTATTTCTTTAGTAAAGATAGAGTTATAACAATTGACATTTTACAATCGTATGAATCGTTGTAGAACTAATTGGATCCTCTGAATGTCACGTATAATATTACATACCTTGATGAAAGTTTCATTTTTTTTTTATTGAATAATCAAATTCGAAAAAGAATAGCAAATAAAGCGTAAAAAAATCTAGTAAGATTTTCGGGTCTAGCTCGAGTTCCGAAAGTTGAACTGATGCAGCATTCTAGAGCATATATAATGATAAATGTCAAAATTCCTATGCAATATGTTTTTATAACTAAATGTATATATTATTGTCTATTCTAGAAGTCAAGACACTTGGATGTTTTTTGAATAACTTTGGATAAGAACAAGATAGAGACTTGCTGTTGCCAGTGTTTGATAGTCAAGATTCAAAAGCATATTTTTGTAAGCAAAATCTTTCTTGAGGACAAGTTCGAAGGTCAATTTTTTAAAGGATTTCTGAAAACTGCCATAAGAGTCCATTGATTTTTTTTTACATATTCGGAATCAGCATCGAAAACTGAATCAGATCTTTTCACGAACTTTTTTCCTTCGCCAATAAATTCACCTCTGCTCCTCCTAAGGGATAGGTCAAAAAGTAAAGTCGGTCAAAATGCAGTTTTTATTGTTTATTCATTTGCCATTTCATGTTCTGCTAGCATTTTATAAGCTCTAAATTTGCTGTCCGTTGTTTAAGTGACTTTTTAACTGACATTATTTTTTGACTTACTCCTCAGAGAACCAGGGGTGAATTTGTCGGCGAGAAAAAAAAAGTTTGTGAAAAGATTCGACTGAGTTTTCAATGCTGATTTCGAATTTGTAAAAAAAATCAATAGACTCTTATGGCAATTTTCAGAAATCCTTTAAAAAACTGATCTTCGAACTTGTTCTCAAGAAAGATTTTGCTTACAAAAATATGCTTCTAGGTCTTGACTATCAAACGCTGATAACTGCAGATCTCTATCTTGTTCCTATTCAAAGTTATTCAAAAAATATCCGAATGCCTTGACTTTTGGAACTGATAATAGTCTCTTTTCATAAAAAATACTTTCAGATCAAATATTGATGGAATTTTTATTAATCAATTTTTCTAAATAATATCAATGCTTGAAACTTTAACATTTATATTCGAAAATAATTTCTAAATTCTAAATATTCAACTATATTCTTTATGTCAATAAACATCGTCCTATTTTACTACTTTTCAGTGATTGGTTAATGATAGAAACCATGAATAAAAAGAAGTCTTATTAACATACATAATCATTGTTTGATTGCAAAAGCAAAATGATCGTCTCCTTCTTTTGATGATTATTTAAACGAATCATCATTAAAAGATGATGAAGAAGCTAATGCTCGCCATAACTCGGATATACATAAATGTAATACATCTACAAAATATCTTCATCAACTGTTGATGAACAGGACAAAAATAAAAAAAAGAAATTTAAATTTGAACTTGTTTCACAAGATTCTGATAGTTGAAAATTATCAGTAAAAGAATTATGTAAAAAATGTCGTTGTTTTTATTTAGCAGCACAAAAAGGAAAAAAAATTCATGAATTAGAAGAAGAACTTATTGTTGGAGAATATTTATTTAATACAGAAAATTAACATCTTTAGTGTTCTATCAAACATTCTAATTACTAAGTTCAGAAGTGTTGTTCTCGATATTTGTGTTTAATAAAAGTTATTCAATATTATCATCTGCTATTATATTGATATCATCACCATCATTATCTTCACATTTTTCATCGACTCATTCATATTCCTCCGCATCGTTTCTAGTAATTTATACATCTTTCTAATAAAGGATCATTGTTAATAAACATATCGTAGTATTTATGAGCACGTACAATCATTTTTCTGCTTCCGTTCGCTTGCGAACAGTACCAAAATGAAAATCATGATTATCACGATCGTCGTCAGAATCAATGTTAATTTTGTTTATGATTAACTGAATAAGAATACTTAAATCAATCGCTATTGAAAAACGATAGCTGTTGTATATAATACGCAATAGATCTATAAAACTATAATAAACACGTAATAGTGGAATAACAAAAATTAAGATGGGACGACAAGAGATAGCTACACAAAAAATGAATATCTATCTATAATTGTTAATAGGCTGTAGCTTCTTGGCGTAGGATTAATTGAAGTGGGTCGCAGTCTCTATATGACTATGGTCATAAAACATAATAAATATCTTTTGTTGAATACAAAAGAGCAAAAATCACCGAAGCTGAAAATAAAAATTTCAACTTGAATTTGGGATCAATGGACTATAGTTATTTATTCTTAATTATAAATGAGTTATCATTTATATGATGAGGTTATTAGTATGACTAAGTATTCGATAATTCAAATACCTTCTTTTTCTTCATCTCATTAATGATTACACGTGCATATATACCTTTATATTTCGTTGTTATATGAAATAAATTGATTATATGAAGTATTACAGTAACATTAAAGAAAATGAATTCATCGAAAGATAGTTATAAGAAATAAAATAAAAATTTCATAAGAGAAATTCATAACTATCAATAATAGATGAACAGAATTATTAACAAAAAAGTTTTGCACATTAAATATTGTGTGAATGAGATATTTGATACTACTAAAATTTAGAACATTTGCTAAGAATCATTACATATTTTTGAAAATTTCCAAAAATAAATAAATACAAGATTAAATATCACAAGAAAACAAAATCAATTACTTGGTGTATTTTTAGAAGTTTTCAAAAGAAAAAAATGAATCTGTCTATTAATATATTCATCAAATTATACTTTGTAAATAACTTAAACAATGTGTATTGAATGACAAAACTGTACATATATTGTTGGTGATTATTTGACAATCACACAAGGATAAATCGATCGTTTCTTTCGTTTTTTTTTTTGCTACGGATAATATGTACTGATTTTTTTCCTCACTCATTTTTATGAATATTGTATATTATGAGAAAAGAAAAAGTAACATGCATTTGTAGACCTTTTACTCTTATTCTCCTCACGAATATGTGAATTGATGAATACGGTTCATTGCACATTTATAGATAGAAACAAAAAAAAAAAAGTATTGTTTTAGCTCTCATTTTGGTAATCATGATGAGTTTAGGCGAACAAAACGAGGAAGAGAAGTCACAGCGTCGATCTACTCCTTATACGTAAGCTGCTGTTTGAATCATTATGTATTAATATTTTTTTTGTTCATTTTATATATATATGATATATTAGTGAAAAAATTCAGGAGCGTCCTGAGCGCAACCCACCGATTCTATATAAACCATTAAAGCCTAAAGATTTTTTTGAAAAAGTAAATTGAAATATTCTTCATTATTAATAATACTAAAATATAAACAATTGTTTTACTTTCTATCAATGTTTAGTATCGTCATGATATTACCAGCAGAGTTTACAAAGTTTGGCCCAAAGTAGAAAAAGACTTCACATTAGAACCATTTCAAGCATCTTTTCGTTATTATGATTATGGTGGTCAATATCTTTTCATGGTTGGTTTTGTTTTGTTTTTTTCTTAATAAGATGAAAAATAAATGAGTTTCTTTTATTTTTATTCTTTTTTTGTATAGTGTGACTTACCTGATGGACGACCAACATATATAACAGTTACCGAATCATTCGAAGTAGAAGAGGGAGAACTAGCTAATGATGATGAAGAACGACGACGACGCGTAATCATCAGTGTTAGTTGAATATTGTTCTAAAATAAATTTTGTTATCGAATTTATTTGCATGATGAAAAATCTTAATTGTGAGGCAACATATATTTTTTCCTTCAATAAAGAAAAATTAATTTTGTTGAAACTTTAATTTATTTTCTCTTTATTCTATATCTCAAATGACTTTGTTGATGAAATTATGAAGATGTTTTAGAAATCATCTGGCTTTTTTTTTGTTGTTTCATTTTTGTTAACTAATAAATAATCAATACTTGTGAACAGATGTGTAATGTATATAAAAATGTTTTTCCAAGAGAAGGAAGGTAACACTGTAATTTTATATAGCATAAGTAAAAAATTTTATGTCAAATAAAAATGCATCAAAAATAGCGCTTAGATCAATCCAAAAGTAGTGGCGGAGGTATCGTAATTCCTTATAGAAAGCAACAATAAAATATTGATTATTATTAAGAAATCTTAAAAAAGGAAATAGTCCTTTTGATATTTAACAGATTTTTAATATTGATATTATTTCTTTTTTTAGGCTGAATATCAAAAGTAACAACTATTTATTGTTAAATATTTTTATTGTTGCTGAAATTAATACTATTTGCTTAGAGAAAATTTTCTATTGTCTATCATCAAGATTAATTCAAAGTCTTTTGAATTTATCTAACTTTGAAAATTATTTGAATAGACAATTAGAACTTCGTTAGATATTACTTGTTATTATTATTTCTTAGATAGATTAGATATTAATTATGCTTTGGCTTTACTGTAAAAGAATTAGTTTGGTCGGAGAATGTTTCTGAAGCTTTATTTATTGAATTTTGCTAATTTCTGGAAAAACAATAATTTAATTTAATATTCAGATTATATTTCATAAAATAAAATAAATGACGAAAATGCATCAGAAATTTGATACTTTGTTGAAGAAATGAACAAAAATGTAACTTGTCATGCAAATCTTGACCTTAAGAGAGACTGTCTAAGGCCATCGAGAATTGTGATTTCATGGTCGAAATTAACATATAATGTTTTTTACATCATTCAATTCCTCAAAGAAAACTTGGATTATGAAAAAATATTTAGGCTCCTGAGGTTTGATTTAATGGAGTTGTAGGCTTTGGAACAGGAAGGAGTCTGAGAAATCGAGGAAAAAAGTCATCTCCATTGTTCTGCTTGTATCTCCATCATTTTTTGTCTGCTCAGACCGGACAACATCTCATTCGAAAGAGCACGTGAAGCTGAATAAAAAGCTTTTATTGCTTTAAAATATTGAGCCTTGATATCTGAAAAAAAAATTTTTTTTGAAAAACTTCGCATTTTTTAAATCAAGTTTAATATAATGTATCTTGTAGAATATTTTGTGTTCTACAAAATCCGTGTGAAAACTTCGAGAAAAAAATTTCAGAAAAGGTCGAAATAGCCGAGGAAATATCATTCCATGACATGAATTTGTGTCTTTTTCTCCTGATATTTAGCAGATTTCGGTAAGAAAAATGACGAATTGATCAAAATTAATATCATATTCTAAATTAGCTTCAAAAACTGAGTCAAGTTATGTATATTTGAATTATTTTTGAGACATTTTTTTTTTCATAGAAAAATTTCCCCTACTTCCCTTAAAGTTGAGTCAAAGAATGAATTTCATCAAAAAATTATTTTGGCAGTGGATAAACAAGTTGAAAGGTTATAAAATGGTAATAGAACACAAACTGGCAAATGTCTAAACGATGAAAATGGCGTTTCCATGAAATTCATTTTTTGGTTCAACCCTAAGAGCGAGTAAGGGCGAAATATTCGATAATCGTCATTTTTCTGACTGAAATCTGTTAAATATCAGGAGAAAAAGGCACAAATTCATGTCATGAAATGATATTTCTTCGGCTATTTCGACCTTTTCTGAAACTTTTTTCTCAAAGTTTTCACACGGATTTTGTAGAGCACAAAATGCTCTACAAGATGCATTGTATTAAATTTCATTTAAAAAATGCGAAGTTTTTCAAAAAAAAAATTTTTTTTTTCAGATATCAAGGCTCAATATTTTAAAGGAGCAATAAAAGCTTTTTGTTCAGCTTCATGTGCTCTTTCCAATGAGATGTTGTCCGGTCTGAGCAGACAAAAAATGATGGAGTTACAAGCAGAACAATGGAGATGACTTTTTTCCTCGATTTCTCAGACTCCTTCCTGTTCCAAAGCCTACAACTCCATTAAATCAAACCTCAGGAGCCTCGAAATTTTTTCATAACCCTAGTTTTCTTTGAGGAATTGAATGATGTAATAAAAAATATATGTTAATTTCGATCATAAAATGACCATCTGGCCAAATGCGCGACAGTCTTGTGGATCCTCTCTTAATTATTATAGATCAACATGCTACAAGTTTGTTCTTTTCGATACATAAATTTCGTCTAAAAATTGACATTAGTGTTTGACTGAATCGAGTTCTGAATATATTCAAGTATTTGAATAAGATCATTATTTCTATCAAATTACGTTGAAAAATACTTGTTATATTTAATCTTGAATATAAAAACACAACTGTTTTATTGAAAACAGAAAAAAACAAGTTCATTATTAAAAATATACAAAAAAAAAAAAGATCATAAATCTGATATATTTTCTTTTTGTTCAATAAATTATCCACTGGTTTCTCCTGTTGAACGTTGTCGCATTAATGTTGATTGTGCAAATAGTTCATATTCTTGATGAAATCTTTTTGAAAGAATATTTGTATTGATTTTTTTTTTTGCAAGAAAAAGTAAACATAATGTTCTTAATGTTGGAGCTAAAAGAAAAAATAATTATTCGAAAGATTAAATTAATTAATATATAATGTAAAACTAAATATACAATTTTTTTGTAATACGTAGTTAGATAGAGCTCGACGAGCTAAGAAAGAATATGTGTATTTATCTTTTTGAAAGCTTTTTGTTAGAAAAAATCGAATTTTTTCAATTTAAAAAAAAAATTTCCGTTTCTTACGGATTGCAAAACCTGTTATATCTAGATTCGTCATGAAAAACTGATTTCCTGCGACTAATTATATAATCAGTCTCAGAGAGTTGGTTTTCCCTAGGGAATTTAAATATATCATTCTCACAATCAATATGAAACGAAAGTTGTTTTTTGAAAATATCTATCAGTCCTTTACTAGGAAAAGCGTACTCTTCGGACAACTTGACCTAGCAGAACTATCGAAAAAAACTCGATTTTTCTTTATCAAAAGATTTTAAAAAAAATATATTTCTTACTCAGCTCGTCAAGCTCTATCTAATCATATATATAAAAAAAACGAGAAAAAAATAAAATTTTCATTCGAATTTTGTAGTTTTTTTTTCGCCTTACCAAAATCGAAAACATAAAGATCACTTTGATCATAAAGTGTTGTTCTAAGAACATCAATTTCTTGTATGTCATTTAAATGATTTGTAAATGTTGATGTTGATATTGGACTTGTTCCACCAAACATATACATTCGATCATGAATAACAAGACAACATTGTCGTCGACGTGGAACAGGACTTCTAATACCACGATTTTTTATACGACGCCATAATAATGTTAATGGATTAAATTCATACATATCATTAAAATGTAAACCAGTTACATTATTATAACCACCAAATATATACAATTTTCCATCATGAACAACTAAAAACAAAAAAAGAAATTTAAAATGAAATATTTTTAAAATAATAACAAACAAGCAGAATGTGATCTTCTTCCACATGGTGTTTCTCCCATTGCTGTAACTAATGACCATGAATTATGTTCAGGATTAAAAATATAAAGACGATCATCATAAATAGATTCTGTTGTTGGTTGATGTCCAATACGATCAAATCGTCCACCAAATAAATACATTTGTCCATCTAAATTTGTAGCTGAATGAAAATCACGCCA